GAGCATAAGGACTAGCCTTTGAAACTCTTGTGAATATTGTTTAATGCCGTCTACTTTCTATTTTAAACGATAGACGACGATGGGATACGATTTTTCAGCGGTCCGATTGTACGGACACTTGCTCTCGTGCTTGTATCCCGTCTTGTACGCAAAGGACGGGAAATCAGGCCGAGTGCACCCGAAAGTGCGGTGGAACATGCGATGTTTCCTGTTTGATGGCTGCCAATCACACCTTGCAAGTACAACAACTTCAACAAATGCAAGCGCAGATCTTGCAACAGTCTTCTCAGCAGCAAATGCAAATGCAGCAACCTAAGGTGGTAGTAATTAGTCTTTTTTGTAATTTTTTAATGAATTTTCTAAATGTGTACGCTTCAGTTGACGGCGCAGGATCAATGCGAGCAAAACTGCCAGCAAGTTTGCGTGAGTGCTTGCACTGCAAGAGCCTCAGCGCCGTCGGTTTGTGAGAACACATGTGGCAATGCCTGCAAATTTGGATGTCAAGACCTGGGGACTCCAGCTCTCATACCCATTCAACTTGACATACAGGATAGTTTCTACAGCGTGAACTGCGAGCCAAAATGTGGCCAAACCTGCCACGCTCAGTGCGTGTCACAGGGAAATCCGGCTGCAACTTGTTCTTCATCATGTGGGCAACAATGCGGTGTTGCCTGCGCAGGACGCACACAACAGGTAGACAATACGATAACCCTTCCACCAATACTGGCACCAGCACCCGCACCAAATCCATGTGTACAACGATGCACGGATCAATGCCAGCTACATTGCCGTCCGGAGCTGGAACCAATGTGCTCCACTTCTTGCGATACCGTCTGTCGCTTACGCTGCGCTAGCCTTGCCTCTCAACCGCTTGCGGTAGGTGGTCTTCCCACACAACAGACACAATTACAGTGTATTGCACCATGTATGCCGGCTTGTCTCCCCAATTGCATCAACTCACAACTCACTGCACCGACTGCCACCACTCCGTCACCACAAGTCGTGGCTGTTCCGCCAAATCCGGCTTGCATCACTATCTGTATGCCTACATGTACCGAAGATTGTATTCAAGCAGCTGCAGACAATCCCAAGCCTTTATCATCCACCTCCAAACCTTTGCTAATTAACGTTAACCTCATCTTGTGCCCCTTAGCTTGCCAACCCTCATGTGATATAGACTGCATTCAGACAAACTCCATATCTCAACAAGTACCTGCTACAGCTGCCCCTTCTCCTGTTCAACAATGTATCCCAGCTTGTCTTCCACAGTGTCTACAATCATGTATAGAGGCACAAATACCGCAACCTCAGCCAAGTCTACCTTCACCTACTATGCCTTCACAAGTACCAATTCAACCTTCAGCTTCATCTCTTCCCATGCCAAAAGTTCTCTCGCTTCAGTGTCCCCCTTCATGCCAACCCACCTGTGAACTGAGCTGCATCCGAGCACAGCAACCCAGTCCGTCGCCATCTGCTTCAGCTCAACAACAGTGCATACAGGCGTGTATGCCGGCTTGTCAGCCGAGTTGCACGATGCAAATCCAAGCCCCTCAAGCTCCTACTTCAGCTCCAACGCCAGTTCAGGTGACTGCTGTTCCGATGCCAACAGCTTCACAACAACAAGCGCAGTGTATCTCAATATGTTTACCTCTTTGTGATCCCCAGTGTATACAGGCACAATCCTATGTTCAGTCACCACAACCCACTCCATCCCCTGCTGTGCCTCCCACCACCCCACTTGTGTGTATGCCAGCCTGTCGACCGGCCTGTGAACCCTCGTGCATACAGGGTGTA